CCATGTGGGTGCTGGGATTTGAATCCAGGTCTTCTGCAAGAACAGTCAGTGTTCTTAACCGCTGAGCCATCTCTCCAGCCCTGGATTTTTACAAAGCTTTTAAAGGTCTATTTCATGCAAATATAAATAAATTTTAATGGAAATATTAATTTGTCTTAATTCTTGTTGAAAAGACTTGTTATATTAATAAATTTTTTAATTTTAAAAATTACATTTATTTATTTTTTGTGTGTGTGTGTGTATTGTGTATGTGTGTGGGTGCATGCATGCCATGGTGGGCATATGGAAGTCAGAGGGGTCAGGTCTCTCCTTCTACTACATGGGTCCCTGGGACTGAACTCAGGTTATCAGGCTAAGTGGCAACCTTTACCTATTGAGCCATCTTGCCCAAGAAACAAAAATTTAAATATCATAGAGCAATAAGCTAAAATAAATAATGTATTGAACAAGTAAATTAATTTATTTATTTATTTTTATTTATTTATTGCCTTTTTGAGAAAGGGTCTCCCTGCAGCCTCAGCTGACCTGGAACTCACTATGTAGACCAGGCTGGCCTCGATCTCACAGAGATGTGCCTGCCTCTGCCTCCCGAGTGCTAGGACTACAGGCGTGCACCACCACGCCTGGCTTTGAACGAGCAAATTTATTAACAGTTGATAATGCTTTGTGGGGTGGTACTGTTTTAGGTTAACTGAAGACGTATACCAAATTTAACATTTCTGTCAAAAATAGGAAAAGACTATGGTGGTCTATTTAACAATTAGGTAGAGACTAGGTGTGGTGTTGCACATCTTTAATCTCAGCACTCTGAAGGCAGAGGCAGGTGGATTTCTTTGAGTTCAAGGCCAGCTACTGTGAGAGTTTTGGCAGTGCTTGGTGTCCCAGCACTCAGGAAGCTGAGGCAGAGGCAGGCAGATCTCTGTGAGATCAAGACCAGCTTGGTCTATATAAGAAGTTCCAGGCTAGCTGGGGCTGCAGAGAGACCCTGTCTCAAAAAGACAAAAAAATAGTTCTGATTTACATACTCTAGTGTGTTCACTGTGTGAGAGCCATGAAGACTAAAACCTACGGAAAGAACAGCAGGTCCTACTTAAAGTGCTCTCTCCAGAGAAGACCAGTATGTACAACTTCCATTTCTTTTTACTGCTTTGCTTCGTCTGGATAGTTGAATTACAGTAAAGTAAATGGACTGTTACGTGATTCTGATTTAAGTTATTGCTAAAATTTTTCTGTACTCAACTATATTCAGGTTCATTCATTTTGCAAAATTTTGAGTGGCTACCATACACCAGGCATTGTGCTGAGTGATAGAAATTAAGCAATAAACAAAGTTCTTGATCTCAGTTGTTCTTAGTGTTAGTGAGGTGAGGCAAAATAGACTCTTTTATATGTACTCTAAAAAAAATTATTTTTGTGAATTTCATACAGTATATTTTGGTCATATTTAAATCCTCTTCTGTATCTGCATTCCGCATTCTTAATCCCCCCCACCAAATTTCTGTACTCTAATACAGGGTCTCACTGTATAGCCCTGACTGGCCTGAGACTTGCTATGTAGACCAGGCTGGCTTCAAACTCAGAGATCTACCTACCTCTGCCTGGAGTCCTGGGATTAAAGGTGTGAAACCATGTGGGGCTCTACATGTACTTTTTTTTTTTTTTTTTTTTTTTTTTTTTTTTTTTGGTCTTTTTGAGACAGGGTCTCCCTATAGCCCCAGCTGGCCTGGAACTTGATATATAGACCAGGCTGGCCTCAAACTCATAGAGATCCACGTGCCTCTGCCTCCCAAGTGCTGCGATTAAAGGTGTGCACCACCACGCCCAGCTCTACATGTAGTTTTTTTGGTCTTTTTGAGACAGGGTCTCCCAGTAGCCCAAGCTGTCCTGGAACTCACTATGTAGACCAGGCTGGCCTTGAACTCACAGAGATCCGCCTGCCTCTGCCTCCTGAGTGCTGGGATTAAAGGCATGCCGCCACCATGCCTGGCCTACATGTAGTTTTTAATGATGTCATTATTCATTTGGTCATATCATACCACAAAATATTTAACTGAACCCATGTTAAAAAATTAAAAATTTCCTTTTACAGAAAAATACTGTAACAATATTGTAAAGCTTCTGAAAATGTCTTTGACTTTGAGATTTGGAACAAATAGCATGCACAGTTTAAAAGTTTTTATTATGGAGTGTGATTGTCCTCCCCTCAAATCTGCAGTGTAAACATGCATGTACAGAAAATAAGAATGTTGTGGGTGTATTTTATTATCTGTTTGAGTGCGTGTAATCTATTCCTTCATTTGTGAAATTCAGAGCGATATAGAAAGGGGGAAAAATACTAAAATCAAAACTAAACTCATCTCACAATCCCTAGTTGAAATGTCCATTCTCCTCAGAGCTGTTTGTGTAGTTTGTCTTACTCTGTATGGATAGAGGGCACCAAGTGGCACAAGTCAGTGCCTAGTACAAAAATTGTTAAATAATATTAACTCTCAACTTCCCATTCTTAGAGAAGTACAGAAAACCCTGGCAGTTTCAAAGCAGGTTTTGCTTTTAGACTAGAGTATACTTAGATTTCTTTTCTATCAGAATGAAAAGTATTTTTAGGGGCTGGAGAGATTGCGCAGTGGTTAACACTGGTTGTTTTTCCAGAAGACCTGGGTTTGAATCCCAGCACCCACATGACAGCTAACAACTGTCTGTAACTCCAGTCCCAGGGGATCGGACAGCCTCTTCTGACCTCCTTGGGCGACACAGGTGCACTTACCTACATGCAGGCGATACACGCATAGACATAAAATAAAAATTATAAATAAAAAAAAATTTTTAAGTATTTCTAAGTACCAACTTTGGTTGTAGAGTAAGATAGCATTAGAAGTAATATAAAAAAAACTTGAGTTACCAAGCTGGGTGTGGTGGCACAGGCCTTTAATCCCAGCACTTGGGAGGTAGAGGCAGGTGGATCTCTGTGAGTTCAAGGCCAGCCTGGTCTACATAGTGAGTTCTATGCCAGCTGGGGCTACAGGGAGACCCTGTCTCAAAAAGACCAAAAAAAACCAACCCCAAAACACTTGAGTTACCAAATAGTCATTCATTTCAAGATGGTGGCATTCAAATGTTTTATTTGTACATTGTATACTTCTGGGACTTAGGTATAAAATAAACTTAAATACTCCAAATAAATATGGTATTGAGTCTTTGGCTACCAAGTCTTGACTTAACATTTTTAGATTTGCTTCCTTGATTCTGATTGTAAAGGGGGAATAGTATGCTACTAGTGTTATACTTTTATCAACATGAACATTATTTTTACTGATCATCAGTTTAAAAGTTCTCACTTTCCAACAAGTGGATTGCAGGGATCAAACTGAAATCATCAGGCTTGGTAACAGGCACCTTTACCTAGTGAGCCATCTGCATAGCCTGTATGTGCCTTTATAAACTCAGAACTTTTTTTCCTTCATTCCTTTTTAAAAAATTTTATTTATTTATTTTACTTTATGTGTATGAGTGTATTGCCTACATGTAGGTAGGTGCACCTGTGTCATGCAGTGCTCATTTGTTATTTATTTATTTATTTATTTATTTATTGGTCTTTTTGAGACAGGGTCTCCCTGTAGCGCCAGCTGTCCTAGACCTCACTATGTAGACCAGGCTGGCCTTGAACTCACAGAGATCCACCTGCCTCTGCCTCCTGAGTGCTGGGATCCCAAAGGTGTGCGCCACCATGCCCAGCCTTTATTTATTATTTTTATTTTGTGTGTATGAGTGAATTGCCTGCATATGTGTAAGTGCATCTGTGTTGTGCAATGCCCATGGAGGGTGTTGGATCCCCTAGAACTATAGTTAGGAACAGTTGTTAGTGGCCTTGTGGGTGCTAGGAATTGAACCTGGGTCCTCTGTAAGAGCAGTCCACATGTGGGTGCTGGGAATTGAACCCGGGTCCTCTGTAAGGTCCATGCTCTTAACCACTGAGAGCATCATTCATGAGAGCCCCCATTCCTTCTTCTTTTTTTAAAATTATTTATTTATTTTTTGTCTTTTTGAGACAGGGTTTCTCCGTAGCCCTAGCTGGCCTGGAACTCACTATGTAGACCAGGCTGGCCTTGAACTCACAGAGATCCGCCTGCCTCTGCCTCCTGAGTGCTGGGACTAAAAGCATGCGCCACCATGCCTGGCTATTTATTATTTTTATGTGTATATATGTATTGCCTGCATTGTAGGTAAGTGCACCCGTGTCATGCAATGCCCACGGAGGACAGAAGAGACTCCCTTGACTGGAGTTACAGTTGTTAGCTGCTATGTGGGTGCAATGTGGATTCGAACCCAGGTCTTCTGCAAGAAAAACCAGTGTTCTTAACCTCTGAGCCATCTCTTCAGCCCCCATTCCTTTTCTTTAATTCCTTCCTTTCCTTATTCCCTGTGCTAGGGTTCAAATACAGTGCTTCACAAGCTAATTAGTGATCTATCCCAGTCCCTCATTGCCCCTAAATGTCTTTTGACATTGCAAAAATTAGTTTTCAGGGCTGGAGTAATGGCTCAGTGGTTAAGAGCACTGATTGTCTTTGCAGATGACTGGGGTTCAGGTCCCAGCACCCACCTGGTGACTATTGGCTGTCCACAACTCCAGTTCCAGGGGATCTGATGTCCTCTTCTAGTCTCCACAGGCATGTGGTGCCCTTTTTTTCGCAGGGGGTTGTGGGGGATAGGTTCTTTTTGGTCTTTTTGAGACAGGGTCTTCCTGTAGCCCCAGCTGGCCTAGAACTCACTATGTAGACCAGGCTGGCCTTGAACTCATAGAGATCTGCCTGCCTCTACCTCCTGAGT